AAAAGCTGGTATTAATGTTGGACTGAGTCCTGGCTGTCCTAAATTAGAACACTTCTGGAGTAAGGGGCTATATTTACTCCTAGAGATTTTCAGAATTTGGCCTAAGTAATTAAACTGTTTAACATTAATTATTTAAACTCAAAACATTTCCTGTCTTTCCCATGACAGACAGTCCTTCACAAATGTGTGCATTTGATATTTTACTGAGCCAAATGTCATAGATGAAGTATTTTGAATTGTGCTTTACATATAAATACAATAAAAAATAAACAGAATGCATTAAAAAAGGAAATAAAATGAATATCATAAGAGGCTTACAGCTTTAAAGTTCTGTTACTGGGCAGCTGAACGTTAAAGAGGGCTTGGGTTTTTTAATTGAAAAAGTAGTGCAAAGTTCACTTTGATCTTGGATTTCACTCTTCCTTTAGGAATTACAAGAAATAATTAAGCTACAGAAGGATTTAAGCATTTCGGTACTAAAACCTTCACCCCCTTCATCCTACCTCCACCCATACCTGACACAATGTTCTGGGAATGTGCGACCTTGGGGCAAGGTGAGCAAGAAGATAAAGGAGATTGTTTGGTCAGTAGACTTTGCAGTAAGGCAGATATGCAGTTATACAGCCTAAATTTTTCCTCCCGGGAAATTGCCCAAGGATCAGGAAGCCCTGCTGTTCACAAGATATGCTTTTCAGGGAAATACAGGAGTTGAGTGGAAAAATAGAAATACTGTATTCTGGTAAGATTTTTGGTCTCTGTACAAATGCACTAATTTATCCTCATGATCACACAGTGACAATTATATACAGTAGCTCATGATATACAAAATTCTATTTTAAAGAGTCACCTTCAAATGAAAAATAGAAGCTTACTGAGGATTTCCATCTGATTATTTCCTGTATTTTTCTTCTATTTGGGAACAGGCTTTTGGGAATATTGGATGACTAAGTAAAAATGGATTACTAAATTTTGCAATCTAAATCTATACTCTGCAGATTCCTGGAAGAAAGAAGCAAAGCCTCAACTTGAGTGATCCAAAAGCAAATTCAAATAGAAGTTTTCTGAACTAGTGAGAGTTTTGCCATCGTGTTTGGAAAAGCTCAAATATAGAAAATGAGAGCCCAGGGGCGAACTTGGAATTAATCCATGGGCAACTGAGGTCAGAGATAATTTGCAAGTTCCTTTATGAAGGGTCACAACTGTGCCAATGATTACAAATTAAAACTTCTAAGGAAAACAATGACTTAGAAAATTACCCTTTCCCCTGTCATTTCAAAAAACTAAAATTGAAAGTGTATGTTGTAATTTTTTCATTCCCATGAACTTACAACAGCCAGGCAAAATGTGAAAGTTTAGGATCCGTTATTACTATCTATCTAAGTATCAAATCTGAATAGTTGATGATATTTCTGCTTTTATTCAGCCTAGATGATGTCAAACTATCACCACCTTTATTTACATTATAATGCTAAGTACTTATTCTTGTACAGTTGTTTGACCTTTTTTACTTAATATTTCTCCCCATACAATTTTTCTTAGTTGTGGATTTATTTTATTTTTAGTTAATACCAAGCTAACGTCATAATTCAGATGTCTCTCAAATGGTAAAGACAACCTTAGACAACTTCAGGTTACCTTGTACAGTTATTTTGTTCCTCTTTTAAAACATGACTGGACTTTTTATCAGGGGTGAATAAAAAGAATGCCTGTAACTATTTCTCTAATCTAATAAAAAAGTAAAATTCTTCCAAGGCCATGTACCACAAAGCTTTGCATGGAAGAAAATCTCGTATTAGGCTAAATGCATCGTAAGAGGTAAGTCTGTTTCTGGCAGTTGTAGAATGGACTATGAAAGTGGAAAAGAAACATTGTTACCTCTATTCACATTGTGCAGAAATACAGTCAATAGAAATCCTTTTTAAGATGTTTTCTTGGTTTATTTTGGATTTGTGTTATACTCTAATGTGGTATTATTTTGATATGTTAAAAGCTTTGGTTATAACATATGTGATTTATTTCTAGTGTCTGAAGTCTAAGACACTATTTTTGCCAGATAGTGTATAAAGAGATCTATTTTTGTGGATCTTTTGGCATTAAACTTCATCCGCTTTCACAGAAGCTGATCAAATTCAGGGTAAACTTCCTGAAGCTGTGACAGTAGTGTCAAGGTTGGCCATTGCCCTTGGTCTGGAACAGTTACTTTGCTTTCAGTTTAAGTTATAGTATGTACTGTACTCAGAAAAAAAATGGAGAGGGAATATCTCTTCTTTGATTGATCGGAAAACGTGAAAATTATGTGAATAATGACAAGAAATACTGAGAATAATGACAAGAATATCCCAAAGAGAGAGGATGCTAACGCTGATGTCGGGTGCTGTAACTCAAAAGTATTTAGTGGATAGCAATGAGCATTTCAGTAAAGAGGCTCCTTTAATAGTGTAATGTTTCAAAAAGTCAGTGATGAGATAACGTTGGGACAACAGCTGGGAGGAGGATGGCATTAGAAAATGGGAATAATTAACTAGCACATAATTGTCACATATAAACAAGAGACTTCCAAACAGACCGACAAAAAAGTAAGGCAAATGAGAGCAGATAGGGTACACAAGTAAATATAGACAGTAGCATTAATGAATATAATTAAGTGTAAATGTCTGGCATGTTAGAGTGAACTGATAATTCCATAGCACAGTGCCATTGGTTTTTTTCTCTGTGTTTTAGCGATATTGTAGGGATATCCTGTGGTCAGCCAAGTGGCCCGTAAGTAATTCCTCCAGTAAAGAGGTTCGGGAAAAATTATTTATTGATTATTCACTCTGAATGGAGCAAACAGATCGCTAGAAATTTGTTGCTGGGGAAAAATAGTACCTTATTAGATTAAGTTTTAATATGTAAAATAGTATAGGAATGTAAAACTGGGGTTCTAGTTAGAAACATGAATAAGGACACTACTTCTGTTCCTTTGAAAAATACCTGAAAATGAGCGATTGTAGCTCTTGCATGTTTTCTCAGTTTACGTGATGTTTCAGAATTTGTAACAAGTTGGTTTCTATTTCAAGAGTAGTTATTATGTCTCTACTAGAAAGCAATAATTTCTGAATTTGTTCACAGAAGTAAAAAATAATATTTGAGGAAAGTTTGCTTAAAAATCCTGATTAATAGCATGAAATGAAATCTGAATTATTTTGCCAAATGTTTTGCCAGACTTCATCTGGATAAAGGATTTTATATGTCAATGTAGAAATTAAGCTTAAAAATTTAGCTTAAATGGAATGAAAGACAAATGCATTCTTTTGTTTATTTTGGCAGGAAAGCATTATGATGAAAAAATTAACGCTGTTGTATTTTCCAGCTAAAATAGAAATTCCCCAAAATTCTGTTCCTTTACAAAAAAAAAAAAAAAAAAAAAAAAAGACATCTCTGGGTTTTTTTGCTACAATATATACTGAAGCCTTCTAAAGGGAATTGTCAATTTAAAAAATTATCCAAGTAATTAGTGCTACCCACGGTCTGGTCTGTAATTTCACCAAGTCTTATTTTTAAGAACACGTTTCTTTTTTACTACACATGTTGCAAGTTAGGAAAACACTGAGTATGCAGGAAGGAAAAATTGGTGAGGTGTCAAGAGAGAAATGAAAAGTCTGGTTCTGATTTGGTGCTGAAGATATAACTGCACTTTGTCTCTGGCACAGTTCAGAGTCGCTGTGGCACATTGGTTAATCTCTCTTTGTGCAAATTTCACCTTTCTGAGACATCATTGCTTGCTAGTGTTTTCCTAGAAACCATAGCTATGATTTACTTCTGGCTTCATAGACAAACATACATCACTCAGAGAAAAGTTTAACCTGTTAAAGATGACTTCTATTAGTGTCACCTGCCACTTTAGCATCATCTTTTTAGCCTTCCTACTATTGAGGTGTATGCCAAGCACAATGACGGGTCATCTCATCTCCTCCCATAGGCCCTCCTGCCTTCACTTTTTTAGGTGATGCAGATGTGCTATCTTCACAGGCATGTAAACAAAAACACTAAAGACAATAACACTGTCTGAAAGCTAGGAACTTCCCACTCCTTAGATCTTTAATTTCTATTAAGTTAATATTAATTAGCCGAAGTTTAGTATTGTACTTTAAGAAAAGAGGATATCTATAGGGAATCTATCTGTTGGTAGCTAAAGGAGATACTGAGCCTATTTTCTAATGAGAATTCAGAGATCCTTAAGGAACTTTTAGTTAGTTGGAAAATATGTGTTTCTAAAAAATTTAAAGCAAAAGTTTTCCAGAGGTACTCTCATGTGCATGCATAACCTCATCTTTGGCAACTTGAACATGCCATGGAATAAAAGTATTTTCTTTGTATGAATGACTATGGTTGCCCTGATCCTATGTGAAAAATAACAACTCTGCACTTAAGTGAGGCTTTCAGTATCAAAGGGATCTACAAGATATGAAATACTACTTAAAGCATTGAAGCCCATGTTGCCCATGTTCACCGACTCCTGTGAAATGCAACTTACACAAAAGTCCAGGAACTTGGTAACTATAAATTGATTAAATATTTGTTAAAAATAGAATCCTATATTTGTGGCAATGAATCTAGGGTCTGCAGGCAGAATAAAACTTATTTGGAAGGATTGGACACGCCAGCCAACTATACATAGTGTAAAACTGATCACGACATTAGAAGTACAAAGTGTTACATTTTACATCGTTATGTATTCTGGGAGGTGATTTCAATTGGGGCTTAAAATAAAAATAATAGCAATGCCTCTAATCTGTATTGGAGATGGGGCAGACTTGCAATCAGCTGAGCACAACTATAAATCTTGTCTTGTTTTTCATTGTGCTTACAATATAATTATACTAACAGAATTCACATTATTTCCAAAGCTCCCAGTTTGTATATCTACCCATATGGCTATGCCCAACTCTGCTAATGACTTTTGCAGACCACTCAAGGAGTTTGATTGAAGTGTATATTGTCATTTATATGTTATACAGGGAAGATGAAAGGAAGAAAGAAGGAATGTTCCTTACCTTTAACCTTTATCTTGGTGTTCGTCTGTGTCACTGGGCATGCAACTGCTGACTTGGATGATGACAAAGAAGAGGATGTTCTGGGTAAGAGGTTACAAAAGTGACACATAAAACTATATCAAATAACAAAATCCACTATGTTAAAATGCACTGTAGATGTAATTCTGTACTTGAGAATTTTTCTGGAAAGCTTTTGAAAGTGGAAGTAAGCTGAAAATGCACTGGTTTCTAACTAATAGGGAGATGCTCAGAATTTTACATTAAGCTCTAGCAAAATTGCCTTCTATAAAGGCTTCTGTTTCCCATGTTTTTTGGAACTTCTAATCCTAATCAAACATTATGTTAGATATCAAGATTATTCCCTTAAAGCTCTGCTTTAGGACTTATGGAAAAGTTTAGTGTTTAGGGAAAAGAACATACAGCTGGTAAACTCAGGTTTTATCTCCCCACGCAAAAGGAGCAGAAACATGATGAATAACATTGTAGACTGATGTTACTCTGTCCTGTGCACAGCCCTCTTGAGTCACAGTTAATCTGCAAAGTTTGGTCTAAAGATGATGCAATTACTGCCCTAGTTGTTCTTCTGGGCCTTGAAGAAGCTCTTTGTATAGCCCCAAGTGATTTGATATTGCTGGATAAATAAAAACTCACCAGTTAGAAAGAGATTTTTGTTAAGAAAAATAACGTCAGAAGTGTGACTGTTGGAACTGGGGAGGTTCTCAGATTCTTACCATTGTTAAGGTCATTGTTCACTTTCACTTCATTGAAATTAAGTAAGGTGGATCAAACTTCTATACTGGATATCATTGTGAAAGATGTAATTTCCTCCCAAACGATTTTGAGAAAGCAGATGAGGCAAAAATACACTTTTTGGGCCATACTAAAATATTCTTCTTTCCTTTGAGAAAATGATTTACAATTGTGATCTCTTTCTTAAGCTGCAGAGAACTATGCAGTGGATACTTCTCCCATTTGACGGGTCTGATTTTGAAACCTAACTGGGAATGCAGCTAAGGGGAACCTTTTTTTTTGTGTTGGCACTCTACTTAATCTGCCTATGTCTTGTCCGAATTCCATCAGATTATTTCTCTCTATCAGTCTTTTGCAGCAGCGTTCCTTGAGACAAAAATATTAATTGTGCACAATCATGGCTATCCTGCAAATGAAGATGGTGTTTTAGGACTGTGTCACAATTAGTCACTACAATTTAAGTTATGCACAGTTCCACATTAAGCATATGCTTAGCATGGTTGTGTAGTCAAGACTTTCATACAGAATAAATTTGTTTCTCTTTAACCCTGAGGTACATAAATGCCCTTCTTGTTTGAGGGCAAAGTCACATTTATCTTTGCTCTACCTTATAAAACTCTTAGTTTTATAAAAATCCTTAGCCTAAGCTTGCAGTTCATGAAAGCCAAATTGTCTTGCTTGGTAAAATAACACACTTAGTCACCAGAACAAGAAATGTGCTGGATTAATTTTTTTCCTATGTTTATTTTCTTGGTTTATAAAACACAATAAGAAAATAATCTCAAGGAAATTAAATAGTCTTTATTGGGCATTACTTTATCACTGATTATTCTACAACTGGTCATTTAATTTTATATAACCAGTAACTGATTTAGTATGAGGAAGAGTTCTGAATTTTTGGGCTTGTATTCCAAAGTGAAAAACAATCCAATGTGATGCTTAGAAATTAAACTAGGACCCTGTTTTTGTGACTACTGAAGACTCAGTTACAGTGTTTACAAAAAAATTTTTGCAGTACTCTGTTTCTATAAAATTATTAGATTGTTGCTAATTAAAATTATATTTGTGGTTTCTTAAGAGTGAAATTCTAGTCTCAGTGAATTTAACTGTAGAAATTTTGTAGGCTGGAATTTCACTGATAGCATTTATTTTCTGAGTTAGATAGTTATAAAACGTTGACATATTTTACCCTAGAATTCAATAAATTTCAGGTATTAAAGGATAAAATAAGTTGGGAGCATCCATTATTTGTTACATCATACTTTTGGCTCACATTGGGTACAAGTGCTTTGTGAATCTAAGAGGGGGGTGTTTGTCCATTAGTATTTAAATTACAGTAATAATTAAGGTTGCAAGTCAAGTCCAATGGGATAAAAAGGATTCTCAATTTGTTCTCTTCTGGCAAAAACTGTCATTTTTCCACCCATAAATAAGGGTGATAAAAAAAATAAAAGATATAAAAATAACTAGTTTATGTATATTGTTCAGTAATACCTTATACGGTTGGGAGCACTTTAGTTGATGTTTCAAAACCTGAAGAAGATGACTCACAAGTTGAATGTGCTTCTTATTTGCATGTGAAAGTTTATCAAGAATAAGTGTGACTGCTTAAAGAAACGGTAGGAAACACATGGGTAGGAAGAGCACTGAACAGTGTGCGGGTGGGAAGCTGTCAAAGTGACAAAGATGGAGAGAGAAGAAACAGCTATTCATTAGTGACAAGGTGCTTAGTATTGATATCACTTATCAAAGGGAGACATTACAAGAAAGCCTGGAAAGATGACAACATATCTTTATAATTAAGGATAACCACAGAAAGTCATATAAGGTTGAGAACCCATAACCTAAGCAAACAAAACCAGAAAGTATTTTACATAAAAAGTCAGAAATATACCTGACCAAGTTTTATTTTCCCAATTTAATTTATATAGTTCTGTTCTGAAAAGCAACTGTGGAATAATACTGTTGTCTTTCATATCTATCGTGCCATAGGTATAATACAGGTCAGTTCACTTTCTAATTAAAAGGATGTATTTTTAACATATCCCTGCAGATTATCCTTAAGAGTCTCAAAGTCAAGTTAGAGTCTTGTATTATGCCTAAAGCCAGAGGAAAAAGTATTGTTTTCACTTGTGTTCATATAAGAGGATTAGAGACATTATTCACCACTTCTGGTTTTGTAATATTATATTGCTTACTAGTAAAGTGATAACAGTGCTTTGCGTTGATCATATAAGGTCCATGTGCACAGTCTTGGCTGGTATCCTGTTTCTGGCAGTTGCCAAAAGTAGGAAGACTGAAGGAATGGAGGAAGAAGGTAGTGACATAAAATATCTGTACTGAACTCGTGCTCAATGTGAGCCATTTCATCAGCGTTACTTCACACTTACCAGAAACTATGGAGTGGAAAGATTGTTAAGACAGAACAGCAGACACTAAGTGCCTTCTGTTATGAAAACCTATGTAGCTGATGTAATAAAGTCATTGAATTAAAAAATCGAGGAAGGGGGGAGAAGGAGAGGAGGTTTTGCTTTGCTTTATTTTGGTTTTAGTATGTCAAGTAATCACTTCTGTGGGATGCTGAGCATCAGCTGTGACCATTATTTAATGTATTTCTAGCAAAACAAACTCAATTTTCTTGGTCTAGGGTAGCACAGTTCTATAATTCTATAGATTTTCTAAGTTTATTTGGACCAGATGCCTAAATTGGATGAGTAATAAATATCCAACAGGGCCAGATCCAATGTGGAGGATTAAACTAATTTTCTTTTTAAAACAACAAGTGCAACATGCTATACTTACGAAGGAGAGTCAATGCATTCATAAATATAAGGTGGAAAATAACTGTTGAAGCACCTGTATAACAAGGTTATATTTGCTGGAAAGTAAGTGGAAGTTGCAGAGTATTACAAAAATAATGCAATGTTGTTGTAAAAAAAAAAAAGGCAAGTAATTCTGTGATGTATTAAGAAAAAAACAAAGGATAATTATTCCACTCTATTTGGCACCAGTAATGCCTCAGGTAGATTATGTCCAGCTCTGGGCAGCACACTTCAACGGTAATCCAGACCAATAAGAAAAGATCCAAAGGAGATTTGTAAGAGGGTTAGAAAGCAAGGCAAATAAAAAGAATGGAAAAAGGGAGTTTGTTTAGTATAGAGATAATTAAGAGGAGACAAAAGTGTTCCAAAAGAAAGACTGGATAGTTATAAATTATTCTGTCTATACACTGAAGGAAGTACAAAATTATTTAATAAGTAATAAAGAATATTTAGGCTGTACATTGCAAAAAAGGCCTGTCTTGCAAGAAGGGTAGTGAAATCCTGGAACTGGCTGCTTCAGGTTGCTGGAAATTTTACTTCACTGGAGTTTTTTAAGAACAATCTGTCAGAAAAGATCTCAAGGTGTTTATACCATTAGAAATACACCAAAACTTGAATGAGAAACTCCATTAAAATTCCTTCCAGTTTTAACTTCCCATGTTTCTACTGAACAATATTCACTGACCTTCCTGACAGACATCTTCCCTAAGTGTTGTATCCTGTGCTCTTCACACAGGACCTAATATGTAGTAGGAACAATTTCTTCCAGTGTTCAAGAGCAGAGGAGGAGGCCTTATACTAAGAATTTGTTTTGATGCAGCCCAAGATATGGTTGGCTTTCTGGGCTGTGAGAGCACATTGTCAACTCATGGCCAGCTTTTCATCTATTGGTACCCCCAAGTCCTTCTCCTCAGGGCTGCTCTCAATCCCTTCATTCTCCAGCCTGTATTGATACTGGGGATTGCCCTGACCCAGGTGCAGGACCTTGCACTTGTCCTTGTTGAACCTCATGAGGTTCACACAGGCCCATTTCTCCAGCTTGTCCAGGTCCCTCTGGATGGCATCCCATCCCTCAGGCGTGCCAACTCCACCACTCAGGTTGGTGTCATCTGCAAGCTTGCTGAGGGTGCACTCAATCCCGCTGTGTCATTGATGAAGATGTTGAACAGCACTGGCCCCAGTATGGACCCCTGATGGAACACCTCTGCTATGAGGAAAGGCTGAAAGAGCTGGGGTTCTTCAGCCTGGAGAAGAGAAGGCTGCGGGGAGACCTTATTGCAGCCTTTCAATACTTAAAGGGGGCTTATAAGAAAGATGGGGACAGACTTTTTAGCAGGGCCAGTAGCGATAGGACAAGGGGTAATGGTTTTAAACTAAAAGGGGATAGATTCAGACTAGATCTGAGGAAGAAATTTTTTACAATGAGGGTGCTGAAACACTGGAAACACCGCCCAGAGAGGTGGTAGATGCCCCATCCTTGGAAACATTCAAGGCCAGGCTGGATGGGGCTCTGAGCAACCTGATGTAGTTGTAGATGTCCCTGCCAATTGCAGGGGGGGTGGACTAGATGATCTTTAAAGGTCTCTTCCATCCCAAAGCATTCTATGATTCTGTGCTTCTATATTCCTGTCGTGGTTTAACCCCAGCCAGCAACTAAGCACACAGCTGCTCGCTCACTCCCCACCCACCAGTGGGATGTGGGGGACAACTGGAAGGGTAAAAGTGAGAAAACTCATGGGTTGAGATAATAACAGTTTAATAATTGAAGTAAAATAAAACAGAATAGTAGTAATAGTAGTAGTAATAATAATAATAATAATAATCTGATAATAATATACAAAGCAAGTGATACACTATACAATTGCTTACCACCTGACGACCGATGCCCAGCCTGTCCCTGAGCAGCGATCTCTGCCCCCTGGCCAACTCCACCAGTTTATGTACTGAGCCTGATGTCATATGGTATGGCATAGCCCTTTGGCCAGTCTGGGTCAGCTGTCCTGGCTGTGCCCTCTCCCAGCTTCTTGTGCACCTGGTAGAGCATGGGAAGCTGCAAAGTCCTTGACTAGTGTAAGCACTATTTAGCAACAACTAAAACATCAGTGTGTTGTCATCATTATTCTCATCCTAAATCCAAAACACAGCACTATACCAGCTACTAGGAAGAAAATTAACTCTATCCCAGCTGAAACCAGGACAATTCCACATGTGAAGTGAGTACAAGCAGATTTGTGTCCATGCAGATCTACTGACCAAACAGTCATGCTTTCCTTCTCATCAGCTGCTCTAATCTGAGAAGGAAAGCTAATTTTATATCATCTGTATGAGTTAAGTGTTCCCAGGTGTAAAATAACAGGGAAGAATTCTTTCACTGTTCCCAGACACAAGAATGATTCAGTTCCCATGAATCCCTTTGAGACTTTTTTCTTCAGTCACTTAGTTATTGTTCAAAGTTGGAGGGTTTGGCCCCTGGGGGTTTCACAGGGTACATATTTTAGTCAAAGTATGGTAACTTGCTAGCATTCCTAAGAAAATAAATGTCTGATTGCCAAGAAGTGTGACACAGATAGTCATTATGTTTGCGGCAGATGTCAGTGTGTCTGACAGTGGTAACAGTGTCACTATGACTGCAGAGGAAAGGCCTTAGGAGGTAAGCAAAACAATGGTTTAGTTCTGTGGGTTTGATGGGAAATAGGCGAGGAGTTGAGACCAGAAAGTTCCTAAGATAAACTCTACTAAGCCGTTTGTTGATCATCTTTGTGTAGTTTGCAACTATGCTTGCACACTCTTTCTGTTGTGATAGCCCACAACATTGGTGTGGCATAATGTAGCAAGCAAAATGAGCTGACGTAACCCCATGTCTGAAATTCCAGTAGTTAGGAAACCTAGTAAGTTTTCACAACCTCTTCTAGACTGAACTGGGTCACTGACACAGGTCAAGTAGATCTCATTTCTTGTGTGCCAAGAAAATAGCATGTTTATAAACCAGCTGCCAGCCCTCACCCCAACCGCATCTGAGTTAGATCTGTTTCTGTGGAGCTCTGAATGTTTGGTAAAGTTACTGAAACCTTTAATGTTTTGAAGCCGTTTTTTCCCTTTTACTGAGTGGGGGAATTCCAAAGTTTCATTTTGCAATGCAATATTCTCTCAGCTTTTCAAGTTGAGCCTTTTAAAGTCCCTTCCAAAGGATTCCCAAACCTGTTGGAGAACTTTAGACCTTTGAGGTCCAACTTGGAATCTCTTGTGACTTGTAATTCTTCATGGACTCAGGAAAACCCAGATAAGGAAACTGGCAAGAAACAAAATTCAAAAATCTGTTTGGCAAGCTGAGCTCCATAGGAAGTTTACTGAATCTAACATATCTTTAAAATGTTTCTTTTGATTCATCCACATTTCCTATTAGACAGTTCTCAATAATTTTTCAAATCTATTTTCCTAACTTCAAAATCTGTAAATATAATTTCACTCATGAAGGAACAGTCACAAACGATTTTAGGGACTGAATATTTAATGAGAATTTTGAAATTAGTCCTCTTAATCTGTATTTTAACACCAAATTGTCCATTTTTGGAAGAGCTAATTGTATGGTACAATTTTGTGTTGATGGTAGCTGTGTAATAAAGGTTGTTAATTTTTCAAGGATTTAAATGATACGAATTAAAATATTTTAGTGCTGAAAATTGTTTCTCTTCTGTAGGTTTAATAGTTATCAATGGCTCAAATGGAATAAAACTAGTAAACTTCATTGACCTCAGTATTTATGAGGATTTATCTCAGCTGTGCATTTCATTTAAAGATTATATAAGACCAATTTTATATGTTAAAATTAGATATCCACAGAGCAGGTAGGTAGTAGTTATACCAGTTTCCTTTTTACCATATCATAAAGCCTGATTTTTGTGGATTCTTTTAAGTAAAACTGGAAACTTAATCTAGTTAGTAGTAGGAAGCTGTGCAAAGATCATATAAACTCTTGTCCTCATCCTTTTTTTTTTTTTTTCATCCTGTTTCCCGGGCCGCTGCAAAGAGCACTGATAGATACTTTTGCCTGTACATGTTACGAGGCATCAGTGTTCTGATTAGCTCTGGGAGAATGAATGAACGATTTCAGGTCTGTTCTGGCTGCTATTGCAAGCACGCAAGCTCTGTAAAGCTTTCAAGATCCTCTAGGGTAAAATAGTTCCTTGGAAAAGCAAAACAGGAAAAGATATTAAACCGTATGTTGATAAGGGAACAGTATCACAAACTGGATCATCAGTCAGAATTTCCTTATAGACATTGACAGTGTAAAACTTTGCTAGTGTTACTCTTCACAATATATGAGACAATTTTTACAAAACATTCCCTGACCTAATAAGGTATATTGAAAGACACAGAAACAACACGATTTGAAAAGGTACAGTTTCTTTTCACCTTAACTTTCTAGTTGTGTACTTCTTAGCTCTTGAAAGCTCTAATGTAAGAACAGTGTGATCAAAGAAAATAAGACGGTATGATGACCTTTCAATTGTTTATGTACCAGTAAAGTGTAATCTGATAGGGGAATGGTGCCCTCTGCAGGACTGTCTTGCTTAGTTCATCCCACACTGTTTGCTATGAGATGTCTTTATGAGCCATGTTCACCATCAAAAGTGCATGGAAGAAAGCACAAGGAACCCTCTTTCTGTCTTTTCTTATGCAGTGGTAGTCATTGTGTCTTCGGGAGCTACTAGGATTTTCTCAATGTATTTGTTGTTCAGAATTGCTCACTAGCTCCTGTGAATAAGACACTATCCATAGCTATTTAGAGATTTATGATGAGGAGTTAAAGTTTATAATATGAGCTGTTTTCGTTGAAAATTGAAACCGCACATTTGGTTTGATTGAATGGCATTTGTGATCCAATGCAGGTTATTATTTTCTTTTTACATCTATGTTTAGTGTGTTCAGAGCTTTACAGCCAGATGTCATGCAGTGCCTCTAGCAGAAGACGCAAGCAATCTCATTTTGAAGTTATGCTGTGCAGAGAAGCAAATTAACTTAATTACAGTTATTCTACTTCTCTGTATTACAGGTGCTGCTTTGCCACCACTGAAACTAGGGCATTCAGTCTGTGCCATGAAAGCAGATGAAGGTCCATGCAAAGCAATCCACATGCGCTATTACTTCAATATTCAAAGCCGTGAGTGTGAAATATTTGAATATGGTGGATGCCATGGCAATGAGAACAACTTTCTAACACTGGAAGAATGTCAGCAGAACTGTGTGGTAACAGGCCAGTACCCATTCTCTTATCCTTCTATTAGTTCTTCATTTGCATCTGTTATTTCTCATCTACAAACCATATAGATTTTGGAAGTAGAAGCCTTCTTCAGTTCCTATAAATACAGTAATGTGATGCCTCTAATTATGTTCCCAGGTATTATACTATGTTGTATTCATCTGAATTATTTTACATTGTGCAAGCAAACATACAGGAATTGGAAGGATAAGTATGACTTTTTTTAGTGGACCTGTGGAATAGAGAGACCAATGCAAGAAAGCTTATTTTCCAGCTAGAGTCCTGTTTTGAATGAGTTCTTAAACTCAAATTGATTTTGAGACTGGGCTAAGCTGGTGGGCAGCACAGATGTTCTTTATTGCTTTCAGAGTATCTAACCCAATTTTTGATCCCAGGTTTCTCCTTCACGTGAGAAGCTGATAGAAGCTGTCCAAAATCTTGGACATCCACTATGATTCAACACAATTAGAACTACAGTAGTAAATAATTCTCATTAAAAATGTGAGTTATAGCTGTTTGTCACAGAAGATCTGTTTTGTTGAAACCTCATCACTTGATCGTTAGAAAGAGGAAAATGAGGTCCAAAATACGATACACAGCAGAATATGCAGAAGGTGCTTCGGGAATGCTGGGTTTGCTATTAAAAATGATCCTTGTGATTAACGAAGGCTTTCAGCCTTGTGAAAATAACCGACTCCTGTTCCTCACAGGAGTGAATGAAAGTTAGAAGACTCTTAAAATTGGAAGTTAATGCCAGTGGAGCTAGAAATTTGACAAGTTCATATTTTTAGAGACTGAAGGAACTCAGATCTTATTGAGAGTTTCCTCTGGATACCTAATACGGATCTTGCTTTCATGGGAATTAAATGGAATGTGTCTGGCTGTGTAAACAGGAAGTGATAGTGAGGGAGGTACTGAAGGGGGGCAATAGAAATAGAAAGAAAATTCCAGAATAAAGAGCTCCTCAAAGGTGTGTGATAACTTTCAGGTATTATACCAACTATGTGTTTTTTTTCTCAAGTGAATTCATGTATTGGATGTCCGTTTATTTAGACTTTGAGGTAAGATAGAAGGATTCATTCTCAATCAAAGGTACTTTTCAGTCACATATGCCCAGCAGCAAAATATGTCATTAAGTGTTACTGAGCTCAAGAGAGTGATGCTGGGCAATCCTGCACTAGAGAACAGTTTACAGGTTATTCTGAGGATGGGCAACAAAATCAGAAGAAAACTGTTAATCTCTTCTGCCTATTAGAGATGTACCCTGATAGCACCCTACTGCTATGCAGATCTCTGTAGGTGTCACTTTGTTTGCCCTGTTTTCATAATTTATTCTAGCCCTGGGCCTTTCCATAAAATTTGCAATCCGCTGATGTCCTACAGACACTGAGTTGGTTTGCAGGATATAAATTTTGTACCTCCTAGGACTAGCTTAGGTCACTTTCAAGCACAGCAAATTTATATATGTTACAAAAAGAATACTTCCAGAAATCTCGGATTAGAAAATTGATTTCAGAAGCTCCTTTTTGGGTTTTTTGACCCAAATGGACTATATATATAAGACAAGCTGATTTATAGCATTGTGCTTTGTCTGTAATAGATGTAAATGTTAGCCATCTCCCATCCCTTCCAGAATTCACATCTATGTAGTATTTAGACCAGGCCTTAAATCTGTTACATTGTCTGTTTCACAACACATCTGTATTTCCTAATTAAAATTACTGTGAATCGTGTCACTAAGTTTATGCTAAACATCAACGTAAGTATCTGTCTCCCATTCCAGTGTCAGAGTAATGGCTAGGGCTGATGTGCACATTACCCTAAGTAATATTTTAATAATGTTTTTTAGTTATAATGCTTCTAATCCTCAGAATCTGCAAACATTAACTGATCATACCAATAAGCCAGGTACTGTAAATAAGCAATTTATTATCTTCCCTTTTACTGACAGAAAAAGAAAGGTGGTAAGGTAACAGAAAAATAAGTGAAGTCCATAGATTGTGTTACAATCAGAGGAGGGAGTACAGCTCAGGGTGTCTGGCATTTACTTGACCAGTAGGTATAATCACTTCTCTCCTGTCTGTATGACCTATATAGTCTTGATACTATATTATATAGTCTTAATACCTATTTACACTTCCACAAGGTTGATCAAGTTTTTCAAATAGTTACAGGTGTTTAAAATGAAAGGAAAAATTGCTAAAAAGTTTTTGCAGGTTCTGTTTCCTTATGCTACTTTTCAGCTACCCATATAGGTAGCTGATGTTTCCTTGCAGATGTGTTTATGTAATAGAACAATTTGTTTGAATACAAACCAATGCAACAGCAACACATGTCATTGTCCAGCATAGGCCTTCCTAATTTCTAAAGTCTGTAATTCAGTTCTTTGACTCAGACTTTTCTCCCTCTGTATCCAGTCCAGCCACAGCAAGGGAAATAATAAGTGAGTATATGCGTTTATTATACATTCTAGTATGATGATTTCCAATGGTGTTTATGATTTACAGAGTAAAGCAGGGTTTCTTTCTTACATACACAAAGTAATAGTGTGGCTGAGTCGAACAAGGCCTCAATGGGACTGTATGTAGAAATAATAGCAAAATTTAATCTCAAGTGTTGTACGTGAGCACAAAGTCTCACTGGTTAGAAATATTGGAAGAACAGCTAACAGAGGAAAACCCATCCTTCCTAAAAAGTATCCCTGGTCTTGATCCCTTTGATCTTTCCAGCGAGGAGACTGCATGCATTTTATTTACTCACTAAATACTAAGTCAAGGCATTATTTACCATTCACACCTATTTTCTGATCTGCTGGCACCACCATGCATTTTTGTTATTGTACCTGGCACTACAGACAATGCACTCAAAAGGAAAAAAGAAAGAATAAATGCAAATATGAACCTTAAATTTTAGAATGAAAGCAGATTTCAGTTATTTTTCTAATCAATGATGTTTTGCTTTCAAAAAATTGCATGCTTATAAAACTATCTCTTATCAGGATGGAAAAAACACTACGAAATTTCTCTAACAACTTGTCGAAGTGAAAAAGATCAGATCAATCTGTTCTTTAAGGGAATGGCAGTTTTTCAGTGCATTTTACTCTAAGGATTAATTTGAAACTTATCTTTTGATAGCTTCTGGCAAGATCCACTAATGAGCCTGAGAGACCAGATATGTTCTCGGGAAGAAGTGGCAGTCTCGCTCTGTTTTCAGAAGTCATATATGGATAAATGTAGTGCTAATGATATTAAAATAAGGTATACCTTGAAATGACATCCCACTGAGGAAAAATTATATGGAAATCGTAGTTCCTTAGTTACTAAATAACATAATCTAGCATTTCAAGTCAAAAAAAGATGACATAGAGAAAAGCATCTTCCTGAATATAAACATCTTGCCCTAAATGCAAGCACAGAAAGTCAATGAAACTCTGTCCTACTTGGATCTGAAATGGGTCTTAAGCCAACTCTTACTGAACTGACTGAGAAGGGAAAGAACCTTTACATCAGCGACTGAGTTTCTTTTCATGTTGAAGTCTCAGATACTACTAGAAGTGCAGATTACTATTTTGGTGCTCATGTACCTGTATTTGTTTCTTTAGAAATCAGTTAGGATAAAAGCTGTTTACAATATTGTTCTTTCACCAGACTATACCAGTTGTGTCTTGGATTCTTCATACCTGAGTAAAAAAAATAGATACAAAAGTAAAACAGAATTCAAGTATTATGTTTTTAAATCTTCATAAGAAACTACTGGATAGGAGCAGGTGACAGTTCTTCGCAGAAAATCAAACAAAGCAGAAATGCATTACAGAGGAATGGAAGATGAGGGCTGTGCTTAACCAGTATACAAAACTAACACAAAAATGACATTTTGCTCCTTTTCTACCTCTGATGTTTTGTTCTTTCGTTTCTACAAATGGTCCTAGCAAAAGTTCTAGCTGTTCATCCTGTTCGGGACAGCTTATTATCAGTAACAGATTTCAGATTTCTTGTATCAAGGCCTAAGTGATAATTCTGATATCTCTATATCTGGGTCATTTTTTCCAACCAGAATATGTCGGTTTCAGTGCTTGTTAGTAGAGAAGGTAGGGATGTAGTGCTTGAGACTTAAAAGGCAGGAGTTGGTCTTGCTTCCAATTTGGGCTGAAGGTTGCTACCTACCAAACCGGGTATGAAAGACTTATATTTAGCGTTTGGTAATCATCACCACCGTAAAGGTTTGTGGCTAAAGAAACTGATGTCCTTCCTCTACTTAACCCAGCCTGGGCAAATTTTTGAAGTATTAGTTAATATTACTTGTTCCGTATGGTTATCCAGAAGATGTATCTCTATCGGAATTGAATGATGATATTTTTGTGAGCATTCAAGACAGATTAATATAATTTTAAGGTGTTAAAAATTATTCAAATTGTGGCATTAATATTTTGCATAGTAATTCTCTGTTTTTCTCACAAGTGGCCTTTCTAGACTTAAAATTCTCCCTTTGTCATATGGCTTCCATGAGTCATAAGCTTGTATCATGGATTTAACTGATTTTGGTTTTTTTTTTACCCCTATGGACAACCAGCGTAAAAGTTTCTTTCCATATTTAGTAAATTTTCAGCACAGAAATTAATGAAACCTGCTGCTGAACTCCATAGTTAATACGTACATATAAGTTTAAAAAATGAATGCTGGCAATGTCATTCCAAGAGAACAACCTTCCTTAAAAGGCATTTTCTTCACTTCTATAGTGTTTTGTTTAGAAAACTGTGATTAATCTGTTCCTAGTTATGACTCCACAAGGTTTAATGAATACAATCTTTCAAGATAAAAAATGGAAAGTTATTTTTCTTGATTAGCATTCAGTGTCAGAAAGACCTGGGATCTAGGATGTGAAGATAGCGCTTCTTTTTCTGTCACCAGGCTGGCTTTTGGTACTTTACATCTGGTGTCTGGTTTTGGGTTTCAGCTGGACCCACAGCATTTTTGCCATGCTTGAGGCGGGGGTGTTTGCAGGACTGCAGCTGCCAGTATCTCATCTGTGTGACTTCCTGGTAATTTGGAGTGCTTGTCCTAAATTCCAGTTTAAAGGCTAAGACAGAGGGCTAAACTGAAAAAGGCAGGGTTGATAGATACAGAATTTGGAATGAAAAGTGTCCAAAAGTCATGATCAGGTGCCATGAGTGAAGATCTATAAAATTATTTCTTCAATCTCATGTTACTATTTTGTCTAATACTGTTATTTTGATTCTGACATATATGTTGGATCAATATCTGGAACAGATTTTCTGGGCCAAATCCGGTACTGGCATATAATTGGCATAACTCCATAGAATAAAACCGAAAGTTATTTAAAATGAGAACTGGCTTAGTGTCTACATCTTGGTACTTAGCTCAAGTACAGTATTTGGTGTATGCCTAACAGTAATCCAAGACTGCAAGTGTGGAATCTGCTGTGAGGAACTGGAGCAATGAAGGCTCATTATTTCTGTATTCTCTGAATGAATAACAGCAGATAAAATGGTTTGGTGGCACACACAGTATGCTGTCGACCATCAGCCATAAAATAAAGTAAACTAATAAGTTAATCCACTTTTGCCAACTTTAATTCAGTAATAAAAATAAAATTCAGTAGGTTCTATTTGTTAAATCTGGCTCTGTCTGTGCAGTCTTGTAGTATATGGTTATATTTGTCTTAATATTTCCAGTATTTATTACAGCAGGAAAATCACTGTTTAGTAACTGTAGAAATCAGATTGAAAAGACAGTATGAGTGACAGGAAAATGCTTAAAAATAAAGAAAAATCTAAGAGATACTCATACAATTATAACTGTGAAGAATATGAAGGTCAAGATTGCTAAAAATAAGGTAAAGGGAAGTTATGTAATATATATACAAATTCAGAAGAAATAATGTGAATAGTCAAAGTGTCTGATTTTCCAATATTAAGCACAAATACAAGAATAAATGAGGCAACATGAGTGAATTGCCAGGCTCCTTAAATCAGAACAACATTTTAAAATTTTTGAATGAATAAGTCATCAAAGACAGAAATGAGTAATTCCCAGAACTCACTGAAGTTAGTACAAGAGAGTTCAGAGAGCCCAACTACAAGTTGGCCACTCCAAGACTCTCTAAGGCAGTGTTTCAGATGCATAGTTCGGACTAAAGGCTCCTAGAAATCAGCTGCATTTTTTCTTTCATGTGCCTGATACCATCTCAGGGAAGAAAAAATTACTTTTAAGAGGAGTTTGCCTATATGCTTCATTGTTTACTAGATATGAGTAGAATCACAAATGTCACTGGCACAAAGGTCCTAATTTTCAAGGCAATGAATATATATCTTAGGCTACTTAAGCTTCTAACATGGGGAAAATACCTGCTGAAAAAAGGTTCTGGACATGACAGCAATTCTAATGTCTGCTATTTACCCAGCAGTTCTACTCAGAAATACAGTTTGTTTACAAAGAAGAAATTAACTCAGCTGTGGATTTGGCTTTTTGACTGAAACCAGAAGCAAAAGGACACTGTTGACATGGTAGTAAGATTAAAACATTCTAGGCCTGTATAAACTCACAATTAATTCTTCCCGTTCTGTGCCAGAAGAGTAGAGATCTTATGCTAAAGTATGATTGCTGATTTTGGCCTGAAGGGGACAGCTGAGTGAAATTAGTGAAATGGCCTGATGTGAGTGTCCATGGTTTAGGTCATGGGTTTAAATGCTGAAGGTACAGCCTCCTACTAATAGGAAGCACTGGAAAGATGGTCAGACAAATCATACATCACTCTAAAGTGCATGTCATGTCTTTAAATAATATTTTTGTTAAGGATGCCAGTTGAATTGTCCGAGAGATTGAAGGAAAATGTATCATGACAGAATTTCCACCTGATAGAGTTACTTTGAAAATATAACACAGGCCATATTTCCAGAAAAAAAAGAAAAAAATGTGGTAGGATTATGGCACACAAGGGCAGTACAGCTAATGCTAAAAGCTTCTTAGTTAGCAGCAGCTCCTCTTAAAATAGGAGCCGCGGAGGGTATATCACTTAGAAACACTTGCTCTGGAATATGAGTGGAGAATAAACTGATAATATTCATTTCCTTTCTGGACTGAGAAGAGATTGTTATAAATAGTGGGGGGGGCAGACCCTATTAAAATTAGAAATTACGGAAAAGGTGAGGATGCAAATGGCTCAAGTATCTTCTGTTACTGCTTCCATAACAAGGAAGGGCACAGCAGCAACTCTACTTTCTAGCAGGAATTGTTTTCAGTCTGAGGTCTTGCTAGTAGTGTGTACCTCCAAGCGGAGTTAGAGCACAGCACTCCTGTATCCCCCACCCTCGCCAGCTGGGCAGAGCAACTGTATCTCACACACAAAGTCACAGAGAGAGTAGTGATGTCCTTTAGGTGTATGACTTACAGAGGCCTTCTGGGAAACATGGCATGAGAGACTAATGCATGTGATTTGTAGAGTAAAATCTATACTTGCCTTTGAATTTGCTTTCATTTCATGTTTCAAAGACGGCTAGACCGTGGGTTACACTGAGGCTTTATGAGCAGGTCTCTGGAAGACATGTATCCACTGAAGCAAGAAGAGCCATCAGCAGTAGAAAGTAGTTGTAATATGCTTCTGCTACTGAACTGCTACTCTTGGCATGTACTATAGGGAATTGGTATCTTCTTAAGGGGGGCTGCGGTAGCTAAGTAAGGTGGCCAGGGTCAGGCAAATGTATTGCTTCATTATAATATGTTTGATTGCCTGACAGAGCAGAATGCAAAATAAAACTGCATTTGCTTTCCAGCAGAAAACTTCAAGCAAAGCCTTAGCTGTACCACTCTATCCCTTCTCTCAGATGCAAGAGGTCAGTAGGCAAAGAAGAGTTTTAGAGAAACTAGCATTTTATAATGCCATTAAGAGAAGCACAAGTACAAAACAAGAATTATGAAGCAATGCAATTAAGATGACTTAGGTGAAGTCCAGAAACTACTATTTCATGTGCCTTGCAAAATATCTCTGTAATAGAAAATATATAATCTATCCTTGGCCACTTTTCTCTCTCTCTCAGCCACTGAAAAATTTTCAGCCTTTATTACACATTGGCTGAGCCAGTCTCCCCTTGGACTCCTTTGTAGTTTTATGATTAGGCAGTCTCCTAGAAGGGGAAGAAGGTTTGTTTTCAATTGCTGAAAAGGAATGTGGGGTTGAATTCAGATATCCAGCTTCTTGAGCCAGTATAAAAAAACCCAGGCTCCTCTATTAAAAATGACAATAGAAATGACAATACAAATAATCACTGCTGATAAGGCACTAAAAGAACAGTGCAAACAAGTTTGTTGTCTATACTACCCTAAAGATAGTTGGAGATACTTGGTTGAATGGGCTTTAATATCATAAACAGCATAGTGAGCACTTTACTCAGACACCACATAGCATAGCAAAGGGAATTAGCATGAGAAAGGTCTTCATGTCTTTATTGCTAACTAGATCAGTAGCTACAGCAGTTGGGTTAAGTCTGCTAATTACTCCTCTTTTAAGGAGTAAGATTACATGATATAGGATCCTGGTTCCAGTAACATGAAGAGGAATTTCTCTATTCAATTCAATATTAGCATAATTTGATTCCAGTACTTTCCATATCCTCAAGTTTCCAATATAGCAGGTCTTCTCATACAAAGGAAATGATAATTCAGTCTTCCAGAACAAGCTTTTGTGCTACTTCTCTAATAAAGAGAAGAAAGAAGGGGAAGAGATGCTGTATTCTTCCTCCTCAGTGCTCATAGTCACTGCCAAGCATCCTGGTATCACAGGTGAGACTTAATGTCTGCTTTTGCTAAATACTTTTCTTTTTATTTATATTGCAGAATTGCCTCGGAAGATGATGTTGGCAAAAATTAAGAAAGGTAATTATGTTTACATAGTGGTCTAAGACTTTTATACAACGATAAGGGATTTAGCTTCTTTTGATAAATTCTTTATGTATTGTTCCAAGCTATCTCCTAATAAAAACAAGAATGTCAGACTAAAGTGCGTTCTTATTCCCAATCTTCTTCTTCTGTATTCATCGAAGACTTTGAGAACAGTTGTGGTCACTGAAGATAGTAGCTGCAATCTCTTCTCCCCAAAATAAACACATCATGACACTTCTTTCCTCTTTCTTCAATAAAGAGAAAAGAAGGACTCTGCAGATATTCAAGCATTATATAATTAGCCATGATGTGGAGTTCTTATTATGTGTTTTGAGAATAATCTAAATGCTTCCTCCACTGTTTAGCAAAAATAGGAAAAAATCACTCTGATACAGAAATTTTCAAGCATTGCCTGTGTAAGAGCTAACAGAGGTTAGGGGAGATCCGCTAATTACTCATTAAGCAAGGGGGCAAGTTCCCCACTCCTGAAGGGGCAGGCTGTTTACAGAAATTTAAATGGCTGATACCCAAACTTCCTAAATAGCCAATGCTTAAACACTGAGAATCACTTGTCTGAAACGCTGTTGGACTATTGAGGTAACCTATGTTCCTAACAAGGATGTTTAAATTTGACAGTTAAACGGGGTTTATGAAGACTTATTCCACCCCACCCTCTCTTTCCACATTAGAGACTTATCTGGATTGGGCCCAGTGCTGGTAGCTGGAGTTCCCCAAATACAGACTTGAGTAAATTTCTTCACAAGTCAGCTTCTCTTTCTCTGCTTACCCTCCTTCCCTTATCCTTCCTTCCATTTGCTTCCTCTTGAATTGGTGTGCGTTTAACTCCTCATAGAAATACCAATATTTGTACATACATTTTGAAATAGACCAATTAAATCATTTATCTTTGCAGAATGATATTCTGGAATATTTTCATACTGAGACGTTGGTTTTCTTTTCCTGTTGTCTACTCTCTTTTCCATTCTTAATGCACAAAAAAAAAAAAATCGTGATTCAATGCTATGGAAGTTACTAAAGTTGATTTCCCACAGATGCTGCAGACATTTGGCACTACTTCCTTTAAAGTCTGACCCCAGTTCATTTTTGAATGACAAAACAGAATATATCCTGTTCAATTCAGCTCATCAACATCATTACATGTTTACTATTGTTTCAGTAACATAGTCTTGAATATTGAGTCTCTAGAGAAAGACGTGGCATTTAGAAGTATAACACTAGTTTGTATAGCTAGGATTATATTGCCTTCATGACCTCTCTCTTCAAAAGTGGCTATAAAAGTTAGCTGTGAGCTCAACTTATTTGCACTTAATTTCCTTTTTCTGCAAGAACCATTTTAATATAAGGATTTTCTAAATGAAAAGCAGCTGTTTTTAAGAATCAGTCATAGTCCTGTAGTCTACTTTACATACCCTTATTGTTATCTGCCTCCCTTTCTCAGTTAATATCTATCTAATAATCTTCTGTTATTTCACAATATTATGTAATGTTTGATGAAAGAATTGTTTCTGTAGCTCCTGTTGTCTGTGAGCTCCTAATAGATGGTATATGGAATAGATACCACTCTGGTAGATTCTTGCTTGCTACCTGTCTACATAACTGTGTCATTTCTCTTCTCAGCTGAAAGCATGTTGTATGCCTTGCCCATACCTTTCATAGTTGTTTGTCTATGTGAACTTAGTTTTGTAAATCTGTGAACACCAATAGGTGCTGCATTTGAATACTAAGAAACGTGACATATCTGAACTGTAGAATACATACACTTACTGGCAGAGAATGCAATTCGTAGTGAAAAATCAAAATTAAGCTATCCAGGAGTGCTTAAAATAGTTAATTTTGTTACTTTATGCAATAACATTTTAATGGTTTAATTTTACATGGGGTCTCTGAAAATGACATTTTGCTGTTCATGAAGCTTTATAACACTTGAAATACAAGATATTGACAATTATTTCTTGGAAAAACACTGATTATGAGCTATTATGATGTTTTATATGAATATATGATGTGCATCAATTGAATTTAATAATATTCTTGTTCTAGCAATGATTTTTAATAGATACTTGGCTAAAATAGATGTAATAGGATCAACTTTACAGCTCCATAATCTGCTCCAAAAATGTTAGGGCCTTCAAAGTAATTGTTCTATAGTCATTTTTATTAAAATGGTAGCCCCCTGCATACTGTTTTAGTCTCAATATTTTATTAAGTTTCACAGGTAAGGAAGGCCTTTATATGTCACATCTGATATGATTGTCTTATATGATGGCTAAAAACACTTTTCTCTGAAAGTCAGCTCAGTCAAGTATCATATTTCAAAGTATCTACTAGCAAGAATTTGAGAATACCTCCCCATATATTTCATTATTGTTTCCATTATTTTCTTTTAAGAATATAATTTTGAGAAAAAATTGAATATGGTGAGAAATTGATATTTGGGGATTATTGTATGGCTACGTGTTATTCTTCTCTGCCAGAAGCCATGATATCATGCCTTCATATTCAGTCAAATTGCACAGTAGTCATTTGTTAACTTTTTTTGGTTTATATTGTAGTTACTGTTTGCAAACTAGAAACTGGGACTGAAAAATGATAGTTAGAATAACTGTTCTGTCTCCCAGTTTCCTGTATCCTTTTATAGCAGTAGACTGTCCTAGACAAAATCCGTTGTTAGATTTTTTTTCTGTTCCATTTTTAAAACTATTTTTCCTTCTATTTTAACATTGCTTTCCGTATAATTCACGCTAACATTGACTGAAACGACTACATAAATGACAAGAATGTGTACTTAGATTCAAATGATCCAGCTGAGATTCAAGTCTTGTTTTAATTCAGAGTAAAAACTGGTTTTCTTTTTAGAGCTTCAGTGTAGGAGGACACTTAAAGGAATCATTAGTCCTCATTTTCCAAGATATAATTTACTGGCTACTTGAAAAGAGGAAAAAAAAGCAATAAAAATGTCCCTATAATGCTCCAGCATAATATTGCAGTGTTATATATAGAACAAAAGCAGCAGTTATTTTACAGTTGGTCTTTAGTCCAAAGTTACAGGTTTATTTTATAAACTATCTCCAGTTCTATTGTTGTCTTGGAATGTGTGTTGATTTTTTTTTTTCTTCCCCACCCTGTTCATCACTTACCATTGTTCATAGAAAAGCCCAACTTCTGCTTTCATGAGAAAGACCCTGGAATCTGCCGAGGCTATTTTTCCAGGTATTTCTATAACAAAGAGACAAAGATATGTGAAGTATTCAAGTATGGTGGGTGCCTAGGAAACCAGAACAACTTCAAGAATTTGGAAGAGTGCCAGACTACCTGCCAAGGCAACTGTAAGTTGTTGTCCTCGTTATTCTTATTTTCATTCCTGTATAAACTGTGTTGTGCTTTGAAGGTATCTTGCATGGAAAAATAAAGGCAACTTAGGGTACCCTGAGGTGGCAATAATTTATATCTGAAATTACCATTAATTAGATATATTTTTAAATAAAAATTTAAAAATGAAAAATATAAACTAAAAAACTGGTAGGTACTATTAATTTTCATGAATATTACAGGACTCCTACTTTTTTACTTTTCTCATGACAGTTAGTTGCCTGCATATATGTTAATTCTACAAGCCCCTGCAAAATATATATTAAACCTGTGTGTGTAAGAAAGAACACAATATTAATTTTCAGAAATCTGCATACTATTTGATATATCTAAGTTGAAACTAATTAAAGTTGAAGCAATTAAAGTAACATCAATTTCAACTGAAGAGGGGGATTTGGTGCACAATGAGTACTGTTTCCTGGCCGTACCTTGACATTAGAACATCACATTTCTCCATTAAACTTGCCATTAGGGGAAAAAATTTATAAACACACTTTCTAGGAAAGAAATTTGGAAATTTGGTTTGAAATATGTTGTAAAAATATTGGTACCTACATTGAGGGAAGGTAGAGAGTTTACAGTAATACAGATTATAATGACAGGGAATGAAGAAACGGACCTATTCTGGTTACAGCCATGTAAGTCTTTTTCTCTAATCTAAAATCTGCCAGCTGCTTGGATTTATAATATGATGAAATGTTAATATATGTTTTTTAACCCACACATCTGAATATACTTTTTTCCAACCAAGTCTTGTAATGAAAAGAGGTGCCAATATAGGAATTTCTGGTTTTACTGTTTCCTTACTGTGCGTTGCTGGCTTCCCACCAAAGAATTATGGGAAACCTGTCCCTCACTTCTGACTAATTTGGCTGTGCGGCTTAGGCTACAAAGCAGCCATTCAGACTGACCATAGATCATTCATCCATTTCCTCATCCTACTAGTTCCTATGCCTTGTTCTATATCAGAATATAGTAACCTTCATAACTCCTCTCCCCTTCACAAAGTACTTCATTTTATTCATAAGACAAATACAGTTCCCCACCCAGAGCCTCCAGACCCTTTTGTCTTGCTTGTCTCTAGTGGGCCTTTTTCCAGGACTGTTTCATAATCTGTCATTTTGGCAAGGGGAACTTGAGCCTATTCACATTTAGAAAAGGAAAGACACATTATGGTTCTTTTTTAAAGGTATTTTAAAGATATACATACAGAGCCATGTGCTTTTCCCCTGCCTTTGCTGAAGCATTTCTTCCTAGTCTCTGATTATACTTTTACCTTCTGGACTAAAAGTTGCAGAATGCTTTTTTTAATTGACTTTAATCTGAAATAACACCTCCATGTAAATTTGTATGAATACCCAAGAAGAAAGAGAGGATTGGGGGCCATTGCTATCATTTAATTAGATCAAAGTTTTTACCTTAGTGATATTGAATCATTGATACCAATTGTTTGGGTTTTTTTCCTCATTGGTCTCTTTTCATTTTTCTTTTAGCAAATTTATTGCCAATTGTTCCAGCTGAAGAGCATCCTAACACTGTGAACAGTAGCTCCCCAGAGGAAGAAACCAACCAGTTTCCTGGGGTTTTTGGTAAGAAATTGCTTTTGCTGTTTATAGTTATCCTTTTTTAATGCAGGCACTCCTTGGCTTGTCCGCTCATTTTCCCATTTATTTGAAGATATGTATGTTAGTTGAAACACATAAGCACAGTGAATTCAGTAACATTAAAACTAGCTTCACAGCCATTTTATTGTTAGTAATACATATTTTGAAAAAGGCTTACAATTGCAAAGGTTAAAATGTCTGCTAGTAATATAAAAATAACCTTACCAATACATGTTTAATTTAAATCTTACATCAGTAAAATTAAAGAAGAAAAAGGAATCCATCCCAGAGTTGCCTCAGCACATCAGTGTCCTATGCCTGCAGGACTTAAAGAAATGCTGCCTTGTAATGGTCTTAATACTGGCATGGAGCAAGGCAAATGGGTACCAATCATAGCTTATTTGCAGAGTTTTGCTGTGTCTAGATAACCCATCACTTGCTGTTTCACCCCTTTTTTCCTCCTTTTAGTCAATTTGTTGCCAACTGCTCCAAATGAGAAGTCCAGCACTCTGAACAGTAGTTCCCCAAAGGAAGAGCGCAACCAGTTTCCCATTTTTTTTGGTAAGAATTCACTTTTGCGGTTCTTAGCTCTCGGTCTTTCATATGCACTCTGGATTACTTTTCCATTCCACCCATTTTCCAACATACCTGAGACTAGAGAATAGGCTTCCATCTATGTCAAATGTTTTGATAAGCAAAGAAAGTCAAAGCAAAGAAATATATTGCTAACAGATCTTCCATAAATATCAGAAGTGGAAGACAGACCACATCTTTTCCTCTTCTGAAAGTGTGCACTTCCTGAAGGTCTGATAAATACAAAAATTTAAAGACCAAAAGCAAAAGCAGTGATGCAGAGTTCCTTTAGTCAAAATTAATATTTTTGTGGGGATCTAAGTGGCAGCTGATTTAAAGCTCCTTTTACGCTTTAAAAAAGGACCATATTTGGATTTTGGAACATGGCACAATATATTTATATATTGATGGCACAATATATTTATCATCATAATTTTTTATTTTCACTAAGGCCATATTAAACTCAGTCTTGGTTTGAGTATAATCAAAGTGAGTGTGAGTTAACTTTGTGTCTGCTTCGAAGTATTTTTGCACTATGTATTATAATGCAAATGAGAATCTGGACCTTTACTGTAGAAGTCTAGGTTTGAACAGTTTCTACAGCTGGAGGCTGTCCACTATAGATTGCTGGTACTTGCTCACACTGTAAAGAGTGATTGAATTTGAGGCATGTCATTTTTATGATCCACAGTTATGCAAGAGGAAACAAGAAACAGTTGGAAAAAGCCTGAGCGTTCTTACCAAGTATTTCTGTTGGTTTTTTTGCAGTTACACTTACTTGTACTTTTGGGGATTGAGTGATGGCTTACAAATTCATTAGGGTTTTTGTGTTTAATATTATCTGTAAAATAGCGAGCATGTAGGATAACATTCCTGTGCTCTTTGCTTAGAATGTTATGTCTAATAAAGCTTGAATGTGTGTTGTATTCTTTTTTTTTTTTTTTTTTTTCCCTGCTGTTCCCCACCCCCTCTTGGTTGTGAGTGATGGCTTACAAATTCATTAGGGTTTTTGTGTTTAATATTATCTGTAAAATAGCGAGCATGTAGGATAACATTCCTGTGCTCTTTGCTTAGAATGTTATGTCTAATAAAGCTTGAATGTGTGTTGTATTTTTTTTTTTTTTTTTTTGCCTGCACTGTGATCCACATGCACTGTTGGGTTGAGGTAAGTTTCTGTGAGAGTTGGATTGTTTGTTTACCACATACAAAGCATCAATGCACTCTGTTATTAAAATGACTGAATATAAAACAGTAAAGCTTTTGGCAACTTACTTCACTGAAAAATATTTGAATGGTTTAAGGCCTGGTAATAAGTCTAGGGACATAAGAGCATCCACATTCCCTGAAGGTTTTTACTCATAATATGAATCCCCAAATCCCCAAAACAACTCATCTGTACAAGCAAAGGGGCATGATTCACTATGTTTTCTCAGAGAAAACTGAAGGGTTCTTGGTTGTGTCAGCAACAGTGAATTTTCTGGTAGAGCAGATTTTGGGAGGTGAGAGTAAGAGAAGTAAGTAAGAGAAGACTCGAAAGTTGGTGGAAGAAAGGTTCGGGGAACAAGGGTGGGTGGAGTCAGTGTAGCTGGATGGGTCAGGTAAGACATGTGACCTTGGAAGGACCAGTGTGTTTCAGTGGAAAGTCTGAAGACCCCACAGGTTCTTCCCTACTATATAACCTCTGTCTGTCTTGCACTAGCCTGCCCTGTGCAGCCACCTGCTGCCATTCTGTTTATCAGCCTGTACCTTTCAGGCTGCTGGGATGGTCTAAAATCTCGTGCTTTGTGCAATGCCACTACAGGGGGAGGAAAGGGTAGGGCCAAAACTGACAGCTGATTTCTCCACAGAAATGTGGAGAACGTAGCTTCCATTCCTGATATTACTAGAGGTAGAAGTGTAAACGGAGGTTACAAGATAGAGCCATCTCACACAAACATGCACTGTGACTCCCCATGGCCCTCAGTGAGGGACAAGAATCTGGCTGTGCACATATGAGGTCAGGTTGGACTGTTTGGGGTGGAGTAGCTGATGCCCATCTTCTCAAGCACAGGCAAAGTAGGTGGTCTGCCACTGTAACATCTATTTTGCATGTATATTGGCCTGGCTGTGTATCTTCTTTTTTTAAAAAACATGACCACCACTAAAAAAAGATTTGCAAGGAGTTGTCTGTTATAGAATACTTTACCTCACAATTTAAATGCTATTTCATCTTGATTTCAAGAAAAAATACATATTATTGATGCTATGTATAACTCTGTAATGATATCAGATTAATAGATTTCCAACAAAGTTCTTGATCTTCAGAAAATTACTCTCTTCTATGGCCAAACAAAACAAACTTTTTTTTTTTCTGCATATAAACATGAAACTTCTAGTGCTATCTCTCAGCAATGAACTTTCTGCAGAGTGAAGATTGTTCTGGTCTTACTCTGCTGCAGGATCTAAAATAACTTTTATTCTGGGAAAGTTAAGAGAAAGTGAAGCCGAGAATCAAACCTTTCATTTTTAGATTATACGAAGTGATCTATGGTAGGAAGTTATGAGTGCTATACTGTCCATTTGATTTGTGAGATCTAAGTGGGATGCAGGATCAAAAGTCAATTTTCAACTCTGCAAATATGGAATGGCACACAGAGGCAGTTGCTGTTATTACTTCTCAAAGTCAGGGCCATATCTTCTGCTGATATAAATTGACACGGTTCTGTTCACTATAATGGATCTGCACCAATTTATACCTATAGAGTACTGTCAAGTACAGATGACTCATTATTTTTGTAATAGCTTGTCTACTTGAAGATTCTTTTATTTTCTCTTTGCTGCAACCAGAAATGAGATACTGAAGTCTCCATATATCAAAAATCTGGCAATAAATCTGAAGCTTCATGAATGTCACACACCTGTGTCTAGCAAAAGAGAATGCAGTAAGCATTGTTTCTCATTCAGCTCAGCAAGATAATTTCAAACTTCTTTTGTACTGTCATCAATTAACCGTTCATTGTCACACAACCCCAGCTAAGGCTGAGGGATAATGATTATTGTTGCAATGCAGGGTTGGGATTATTTTTGGTAAATATGAGTCTATATCTGAATGTGCATGTTTCAGAGATTCTGAAGTATGATCATGTCATCTGTTCACACCACAGAGGGGGGTGTCTGGGGGTGTCTGGGATTCAACAATGCTGTATTATAAGAACTAAATCTTAAACCATACACATTTAAAGATTGTTTAGGTAGCAGTGAAGGGATAAGATACAATAGTCTTTTCATAGGTAAGAACAATAGCCTTTTTTATCTACTGCTTATTTCGTATAATTAGTTTATCTATTTTTTCAGAAACAAAATATCAAATATTGCAGTTTTGGGTCTTATTCTCTCACCAAAACAAAATCAGTCCAAACATCTGCATCATCAAGAAAAAGAAGTATTAGAAAGATAACAAAAAGATCTGCGCTGTACTTTGCTATTGTAAAGCCTGAAACCCATTTGAGAAGCTCCTACAGAACTAGCGGCGGGAGTTCCAGTTCCCAAGCTCCACTGGCGATGGGTTCCAAGGTCTAATTTCCTTCAAAGGTTTTTGATGGAATTGGCATGTTTCTGAGGAACAGAACTTTGTATTTCATTGTATCAGCATTTTCCAGAAGAAAACTTTACACCTGGAAATGTTTGATTAACTCAGCTTGGAAGCTTTCATTTGTCCTTTGCCTGTATGAATTGTAAATTCTTTTTTCCCATACCTGTTCATGACTTGACTTATGTCGCATATTTTTGGTGAATAATATACATAGCAAAGGCAAGTTTGTGAGCTTGCTATTGGATATTTAAAACCTGTTTAAATCCAATATTTTGAGTAAACAGAATAGCATGAACACAAGGGTGAAGCCAGAGTCTTAAGGCCTGTTGCTATTAATGTAAATAAACAGTTGATTTCTGTAGAAATGGCATCAAAGGCCATAGGATGGGTCGTGTAGTTGCATGTATGAAAATGTTAGAAAGCATTTAATGACATTTATTAATTTTTAGGCTCATATGATCCACTTGATGTTAACATGTAATGAGTTATGTAATGTAATGAGTAATGCTACTTGCACTGGGAAAAAATTGCTAAAATGTAATCTAAACTGAGAAAAAACCTAGAGTTAAAACCAGCATTTCTATCTCAAGTAGTCTCTCACTAAAGTTCATATATGTAATTCATAGACCTGTAATGACTAGATTAGGGGAAAATAGTTCTGATAGTGGGACATGTATTGCTGTTTTTTTTTACTGTTTTCAGTGTGTACCCCTTCTCAGAAAAATGAGGTTGTAAAACCAAAACATTTGAGAGGGAAATTCAAGAACAAGTATAATATCTAAACTTACAGTAACATCATATACATAAGTACATAATTAGAAGCTGGGGCTGAACAGAGGAAACTTACCTGGATCTAATGCTCCCAGTGACTGTGTCAACATACTGGCTCACAGGCTTATAGATTGTCCTGCCAATAGAGATGTTGGGCTGGGCATGACACGGTACATATTTTATGCTTACAGTAACTTGAAGTTAACGGGTCTTTTAGTGATCAGTATATTAAAATCAATTCATAATTATGATGATCCTCAGCAGTCAGGAAATTATGATAAGTAATTGCATTTTTATTTCAATACGCTGTTGAAAAAAATGTCTGTTACATGGCAAAATTAAGAGGTTTTCTTTCATGGGTTGGCTCTTTCTGTGAGTGTAAAGAACATGCAGATATTTTGAAGATGAACAGTCTTGTTTGGTATCTGGGGCATTTATCTAGCAATGATCTAGACAAAGAACAACATAATTTTTAGGAAGAGTACAAGAGGTATTCTGAATAGCATTTGAATGCTGCTCTGCCAGTTGCATTACACGTACATAGGTAGTCCTTATTCACCAGTAACCACATCACTGGCTCCATGGCTCCCCTAAAGCTTACAGTCGTTGTGAGAACTCCTTCATGAGGGGACTCTGGAGTCTGTCTGGAAAATTCTACATACCAGCTAAGTAATTTACATTACAAAGCTTATATTTCAATTCTGTTATATAGTTAACAAACCTATGCTGATTGGCCCTTTCATCACTGGTAAGCATTTCTGCTTTGTTCTTTTTTAGGTTCAGAAATTATTATGTTAAAATAGGTAAGCATTTTTTTAATGTTGCTGAAGATATGCTTTGAAAGCTAACTTTCTCTCCACCTAGAGAGAGATGAAATTAGTTCTAGGCACAAGAGTTCTGAGAGCAGTACCAAAAGCATTACATCAATTAACTACCATCTTTATTATAAATAAAACAGTAGATTTCATATAAATTATATCACATTGTGGGCTCTTACCCTGGATCCAGAGTGAACCTTGCTTTTACAATAATGTCACAATTATAAAAAGAAATTAAGTAGTGCTCATTTTATAACCTGAAACTAACTTAATCTATCTTTAAAAACCAACTCATGACTCAGTTTTTGCATTTCAGGATTCTTTTGGAATAGTATGATGTTGCTAACACAGCTTCAAATAAATTATTGATTTCATTTTGCTGTCTTAGCTTTCCATAAATCACTATTCCATTTCTTTCCCAGCAATTTTTCATACTTTTTCACCATGCCAGTTCAGCTATTATACTTGGCAGATGAACCTTTTTCAACAGGTATAATATGTGTAAGACAAGTAAGATGTAGCATGTTCTTTCTGGATATTTTCTTGTCAGCCTCTTGAATTGCCCAAGTTAATTCATAAATTCTTGGCTGTCAGCAACTCATCTGCTTCCCACTTTTGTGACAACAGGATGTCTTCAGCTCTGTTGTAACCCAAATTATTCCCTAAAATTTTTACTTGTTTTTTCCTCTGAACGACTTCTACCTGGCTTTGTGACTTCAAGAAGGCTATCTGACTAGCTTCACATTTCCATTTATGCATTCAGATCTCGGCAATCTCAATTCTGCTACTTCTTGAAGGAAAAGGGTGCTCCTTTGAGTCCCTCATAACTGATGATGTAATGGCTCCCATTCAGTTTCTTGCATCCTGTCCAGCAACTGTGTCAGTTCTGATTTTGTTCATGAGTCACTCCAGGATGATAGATGATGGACTTTCTCCAGGTTTGGGAATTCTGGAATGGATTTGCTTCTTGAACTTGTTCCAGTGCCCAGGTACTTCAGATACCTCAGGTTCATCTTCCAGTGTTTCAGTTCTCATACTCTCACTTGCAGCGACACTGAAGAAACAAACCATCAGCCTACTCCTTGGAATGGTAAAAACCTAACAGCAGCACTAAAGCACCAGCATCTCAGTCACTTTGTGCACTTATTCTTCACATTCAATCCTTAGTTATTCTTCAAGTTACAAGCTATTTCTTGATAATTGCTCAGTGTTTTCCATAGACCAGCTTCTGTTACTGTGCTGCTTTTGGCTGGGATAGAGTTAATTTTCTTCATAGCAGCTAGTATGGGGCTATGTTTTGGATTTCTGCTGAAAACAGTGTTGATAATAGAGGGATGTTTTAGTTACTGCTGAGCAGTGCTTACACAGAGTCAAGGCCTTTTCTGCTTCTCACCCTACCTCACCAGCGAGCAGGCTGGGGGTGCACAAGAAGCTGGGAGGGGACACAGTCAGGACAGCTGACCCCAGCTGACCAAAGGGCTATTCCATACCATATGATGTCATGCTCTGCATATAAAGCTGTGGGAAGAAGAAGAAAGGGGAGGACGTTCAGAGTGATGGCGTCTTGTCTTCTCAAGTAACCGTTACGCGAGATGGAGCCCTGCTTTCCTGGAGATGGCTGAACACCTGCCTGCCGATGGGAAGTAGCGTGTCAGTTCCTTGTTTTGCTTTGGTTGTGTGCGTGGCTTTTGCTTTACCTATTAAACTGTCTTTATCTCAACCCACGAGCTTTCTCACTTTTACTCTTGCGATTCTCTCCCCCATCCCTCTGTGGGGGGAGTGAGCAAGCAGCTGTGTGGTGCTTAGTTGCCAGCTGGGGTTAAACTGTGACAATTACTTAGGTCAAGCTTTCTTTATTCATATGACAAACCCAATACTAAGGTATTGAATCTTACATTGGAAATGCTGGGTACTTTTGCCTTCTATTTGACTTCAGAATGTCTAGCAGTAATTAGGAAAATTCACTTCATTAATTATCATAAATATTTACCATGGTTTTAAAGCTGTCCAATTTTAACTAATTTTATTTCACTTTCTACAAATACTTCACCTGAAACTTCTCTAATTGAATTTGAATGCTATCTCCTATCACAGAAATGGCAATTTTGTCATTAAACATATAGGAAACAAACCTTGCTTTCAGGTAAGCTTTTGCTGGCTTTTGGAATTCCAAGAGAAAATAACGTTTGCTGTGGTATTTTTTGTAATCATAAAAAGACAGATGTTTATGTAAAGTATCCTGGATTTTCAGGAGGGCAGAATGAAATTTTCCAGTAAATTGCACATAAATTTCAAAGTTCTGTGAGCTTCAAATCTTGCGTATAATATCCATGTAACAGAAAACTGGTAAACTGCAGTGTTGTCTCTAACCTTGTTTTTCTTGGTCTTTCTAGAACGACCCCCTATCCCTTCTTTGTGCATGACCCCTATGGACAGAGGACTTTGTAGAGCCAAAGAGTTAAGATTTTTCTACAACTACTCAACTGGAAGATGCCGCCCATTTAGCTACAGTGGTTGTGGTGGGAATGAAAATAATTTCACCTCCAGAAGGTCGTGTTTGAGGATCTGCAAGAAAGGTATGGGAAGTGATACTGCCACAGACTATCATAAGAGGTAAATATTATGCAGGCTGAAACATTCTTGCAACTTTTGGTGGTCAGTATTGGCCTGGTAAAATGTAATAGTTGAAAGTCTTAGAAAAGTGAAAATGGAAATCAGAAGAGAGACAGAGCTAGAGAGAGAAAGATGGACAGTAAAATACAGTGTACAAGAACAGAAATAAGACAACTTGGCATTGGTCAGGCACATGGAGACTTTAGGTAAGACAATTTTTTTTTTTAAGAATATTTCTTGAAAACAAGACTTGTCTCTTATTTCTGATAATCTTGCATGTGTTAGTCATACACCATCTAATCTTACTTTCTTCGTTTTACCTTTAGGATTCAATAAAAAAAAAGGTGAAAGAAGAGTAATAAGAATCAAGAAGAAAAGAAAGAAACAGCCAGTAAAGGTTCTGGGTGAGGAAATCATCCCCGAAAGAAAACAACTTTGATTTTTATGGAAATGTGAAGTAAACTACTATTCACCTGTGAATGAAAGCCTTCAGTGTACACCCTTGAAATACTGTACTGATTATTTTGATTACATTTTATTAAGCTGCTTATATTTTTATTATGTATTCCTCATTCATGTTAATAAACATTACCTTTGACTTTGATAAAGGCTCTTAAATTTTAGTTTGATTGTATATAATTGTCAGAGCTGAAACAGGACAGAACAGACTGTGTGGGTGTATAACTCATCATGGTTAAAAAGTAGACAAGATTCAAATTTACTTTATTATCCCATTACTCTTTTTTGAAATCTGTTTTTGTGCTAAAGAAAGCATAATGCTTGTCAAAGAGTAATCACCTGTCAAGCATGATTGTTTCAATCGGATTAAAAGGTAGGTCTGTTGCTTTAAGGAGGAAATAGACACTGGGTTTGTTTTAATCAGATTTATTTTAGGTTATGCAAGCTAGATTTAACTCCATCAAAGTGCATATAATTACACTATTGTAAAATGAATGTGAGATCAGAATTAACCCACCAAAAACCATAAAGAGAGTGTTAAAGTTGTAAATGTGCGAAGCAACATGACAGATATTTGCGAAGATTTAAAAATATATTTGCTGGGATCATTGATTTTTATCCTTGTTACTGAACTAGACTCGTGGCTAGCAAGTTAATAATTTCCAGAAATACGTATTAAATTTTTACAAAAACCAGAACAAATTCCTTTCATAAAAACAAATCTAGTTGCTATAGAGATAACACTATGCTTACTCCAGTTGACTTTGAGGAAGTCTTTGGTTGGGTTTTCATGGGGTTTTTTAAGACTAACATGAAACAGTGGTACAGTTCCTTCCCTTCTCCAAGGCACCTCTCTGATCTTCGGTAAACCTTTTATCATCAGATTTTTTTAAAGGAAAGGGAAAAAAAAAATGTAGTTCATTTCCTATTAAGTTTTTTAGAAGCACCTTGCTGCCTATGAAACAAAAGGATATATTTGAAACTCTTCCCTATCTTCTTTGATGTTGTAAATTATTATTTTTTTATGTATCACGTTTTCCTTTTATGCTTAAAACTACTGAGGATAGTTACACCGCTGTTTGTAAGAGGTGGTGTGGAAATAAGTAGCTGAAATAGATGTGAGGGGCTCAGACGCTACAGCAAGAAGCAGGAACAGCAATGACAGAATAATAAATGATCTACTGGGAGTAAGCTGCTTTTGCCTATGCACTATGAATCACATGTGTGATTTCATAAAATTTATGTTTTATGTGCCTTTAGACTAACTCCACAAAGAGGCTAAGCTTTACTGAAAATGAAAGCATTTATACATTCTAAATATCTGAGTGAGGAGGGAAGTAAAAGTCACAGATTTTTATACAGAAACTCTATCCAAATCTCTTTTCTGGTACCTAAGTCTTTTCATGACTCTCTTATTCTAGGATCTATAAACTCTGATTTGAAAAATTCTCATGAAACTGAAACGTATAACAGAAGATATTTACATAGAGTCTTGTCATATAAAATGTATAAGCACCACAGACTAACAATGCAATAACTTATAAATCAGACAAGTGCTCTTCTGACAGGAAACCTATAAACTCCATAGACTGCTGAAAACTAGTAACATCAGTTCTCTACACAGAATTAATTTGGTGTGTAGTTACCTGGCAGTTTCAGTTCCAGTTTGATATTTTCCTATTCTAGTTCATCGTTTTTATTGGCCTTACTCTCCAGGTTATCAGCTGTACTCCACGCGCTAGGAGTCAACTCTGTAGATGGGAGTTGCATTGCACGGGAACAGAGCAGTAGGTTAAATACTTGGACCAGCTGGAATTTGTCATTGCAGACAAGTGGAGAGCCCATGGTTTAAACTGCTCCCAGGCCTTTCCGCCTGTAGCATAGCAACTGCCTTAGCACAGTAGTGTGCGTGGCCTCCGAAAGCAGGAGTTGCTTTAGGCGCACTAGGTATGGGAGAGGCAGGGCTTACCAGTGGGCTGAACACCCCACTAATGCCACAGTTACCCTGCCTCTACACTGACACTAGCTTGTGTCTGCCTGGCAAGGAATGCAGGTGAGTGCACAGGTGTCTGCACCTTTTCTTGTATAAATTTTATGGTGAAGACAGTAAAAATATCTAATCTTCCATTCTTAGTCACAATAATTTCCCATGGACCGCCAGTATTAAAACTTAGGTAATTGCTAGATCATGTGATGTACCTCAGAGTGGAGACAGAGCTGAGGTATGTGCAACTTGCCTTCTCCAGCAGCTCCGTGATGCGGTGAGGACATTCTGAGTCTACGGTTTCAGATTAAAGAAAAAAAAAAAAAAAAAAGGTGTCAAGTGCTGGGTAAGTAACGCATTTGCAACAGCCGCCTTCTGTCACTGATGTCTGACAGATAAGCAGTACTATCCTGTACACCACGTTAAAACCCTTTTACACAGAAACGTGGTATTGCCTAGCATGATTCTGAGATATTTGACCATGATTCACATTAAACTAAAACATCTTCTAGAGCTTTCATGTAAAAGAGAATGAAACTCACTCTTTAGCAGCAGGAGTGCAACGTTCGGGTAACTCCAGTGTTTATATGAATCTGTGTTATTGGTGGCAGTGTTTCTGTCAGGAGAGTTTTTCCTCAGCATCAAGCCCAAATAAAGGTGATGGGGACAGAGCTGTTCTGAGGCAGTGTCCTCTGCCCAGCTGTGACTGCAGCTCTAAACCTGGTGGTGTTTTCAGTTGTGACGGGACTCTGACCTGAGCCTTGCAGGGGTTGGGAGGAGGGGAAGGGGTTTGCCCATGGTGTTGCTTCAAGCAATCCCACCAAGAACACTAACAAGGATTTGTAAACTCTGTAAGTTTTATGAGATCATGAACTAGAATGATGACCTTTCTAAAACAATATTCTGAATGAGACGATAGATGTAAAAGGTAGGAAAGAATAGATGCGTTCGTTTGTACACAGATTGCCTTGTGATCCCTGTGTCATTTCATGGCAATATCTCTCCTTCAGGCTCCCTCTTGCTCCAGCGACTTGTCCCTGGCTGCCCGGATTCAACACCTACAAAATCCACCCTGGAAGTCTAGGAAAAATCTTCCTTTCTGTCCTTGCAAAAACCTGGCTGCGTGGCTGCTCCCCATTCTTCTAAGTCTCCTGCTTGCTGAGCTCTCCTGCAAAATTACCAGGGTCTCCTCACTGAGTGTGCTCAGTTGCTCCCCAGGACTGTGCAGTCTTCTCTTCTTCCAGAACTGCTGTAGCTAGGACAGGACTAACAGGTACTCCCCCATACTCTCCCACCCCCTACTTAGATTATACTAGAGAAACTTCTCATGCATTCATTTTGTAGTAATGGTGATAAATCAAGTGATCCATTGAGGGATCTCTTATGTCAATGTTGAGACGGAAAAAGACTTTATAGTTATAGCATCTCAACAGTACCTCTATTTCAATCGACTAAGAAAACATTACAAAGTGATTAATCTTTTAGGCTCATGACAGTGTAATGAAAATGAAGACTGGAATGTTGTAGACTCTACAAAAACTGATCTGATTATAATCAGAGATTTGATCTGAGAGTGCACGCTCTTCTTGGTGTGTGTACTAGGTTTGGCCACCATACCAGTTATCCGCCTGTCTTCCTGTCTTTTTGTATAGCTTTACAGTGCATTGAATTAGTTTTTCCCATAAAAAGTCCAAACTGCAGCGTGATCTGATCTTCATCAGCTCCGCAAGCAGTTTCTTTTGCGCCCTTCTTCATTCACTTCTTTTCATTCCTGTATCTTCAATATCTACATAACAACCAAATGCAAGAATAAGAAAAAAGATCTATGAATTTCTCAAAGATAATTAAAGGGTGAATGTAAAAGGGGGAATAATTGAGCCATAACACAGGGAAAAGATGGGGAATCAGATGGCAGAATGGTGAAGAGGTCAGAAAATGAAGTTACGCTAAGGTGTTACAGTGACTGTACATTTCCAATTAACGGGAGTCCATTCACCCGGTTATTTCATTCCAGAATCTGCCCCGCTTGCTTTGGAGGAAATACGCAGGGTGCTGTGAGATTTCCCCCACTTTGTATGGTGGGAGCCAACAAGGCAAAGCAATTTTACAGAGGTTTGAGGAGTTTCCACGTATCATCTGATCTGCGGTAACTTGGTATGTGCCCTTAGTCCATGCAGGTGATGAAGCAAAATATCTTTGAGAAATAATTTGAAGTCTTTTTATTAGTTCTTTTCCTCACGTTTTTACGGATATGGCCTCCTTCTTACTCTCTATCCCCTGCTTTGCTTTTCTTTCCAGTTCATTTGAGCCAGTGTTTCTCCCTGCGTCTCCAATCCATCTACTATTTCAAAACTGATAGATTTATTTACATTTTGAGAAAGTCTTCATCTTTCTAGATTCTACCTTTCAAACATACTAAAGTGGATATAAGGATTACGTTTCATAGCTGGTTGCTTTCGGTGGCATCTTCTCTTGAGAAAGAGCCAGGTTCAAGTGAAGTGGAATATACGTTTATGGTTATGAAGTGTTTACAGATGAACTCTTAATATTCGATTCATAGGCAACACATTGCCAAACGTGAGGAGGTTCCTTGGTTTTGTTTATCCTGTAATCGCTTTTGAAGCTGTAGCAATGCCGCGTTGCAAGTCGCTTGTCGAGGCTTTTTTTCACGGGACTGTTTTGCCACTGACGGTGCGTGAGTTGGGCACCCTGTCTCGAGGCGAACGTGACGTAGGCTTCAGATCCTCTCGCTATTCCCGATGCCTCGGCTCGGCGGGGTACGAGGCGCAAACGCCGCGTCGGGCAAGGGCGCAGGTGCGGGGCCGGGGCCGGCCGCCCCGCCAGAAGGAGCCGCGCCGGGAATGCGGCCTCTGCCGCAAACGGGGTCCCCTCCGCTGCCCCCGGCACGGCCGCGGCTGGGCTGGGCTGCTGCACAGTCCCTTCGTCGTCAGGGAAGAGGCGTTTGTCACAACTGCAACGCCAGAGAGAGGGATTCTCATAGCCGATCACGAATAGTCCCGTTATTTGCAAAACCGTATTTATCCTTGAACTTTACAAATCAGATCAAAGTTTATGGTAAGAGGCAGAATTCGATCTTCTTCGTTGCACCATTTTAAGCTTTCTTTGGTTAAAATACAGTCAGCTGCGCTCGTTTAGAT